TTATGCGTATATATATATATATATGCATATATATATATATATATATATATATATATATATATGATCAGATCATTAGAAATGTATTGCCCTAAACTATATCACATAGTTCTGATAATTCTCGTCTTTTCATCACATTATCGAAACATCTAAATTTAGATACTGTGTCATATGTATAGTAGAGAAACTCTGTACAAGCAAACCATATTTAAACAATGCGATGTACATTTACATGCTTTCCAAACGAAGACAACATTTTAATAGTGATAATAATAATAATAACACCGTTTGTTACCTATTGTCACCTCAAAACATTTCTCATCACCAACTGTATAATATTGACAGAGCAGTTAACATAAACGCTAGTTTTAATTATTTAAAAAATATACTTTATGAAAATTTTTTCAATAGTCAATTAATTGTCAAATAATTCTTGAACACCAGTTGAGCTTTTCTAACTCTGATTTTTTTGTTTCAATGTATTCGTTTCAAGTTGTTTTCCCTTTAAGAGAAAAAAAGGTGTACAAAATAAATATCACTAACAACTATAATTTTTCTATATTTTCATTTAGACCTTTGGAAATTTGTGTTTTTACACATTTGAAATGATCAGTCAATCACTGTTAGACATACATTAGAAACCTGGAAGCACTGGACGGACGTTTCGTTCTGGTATGGGACTCGTCAGCAGTGTGCATCCACGACTCCTGCACCTCGCAGGATTCGAACCAAGGATCTTCGGTATTGTGCGCAAACGCCTAACCATGTTTCTATTTGAAAGTTTTCAGTCTTTCTTTTTATAAGAATGTGTGAATCGTTTATCAATCACCCTATGTGTATTATAATATGTATATGAATCCCAAAACAACAATAATAAATAACTAATTCAAACAACTAATTACACTAGTTAAACAAATAAAATAGATTTCATTAAAACATTAGTGAACATTTAACGTACAACTTTTAATATAAAAACATCAAGAAAAAGAAATATTATCTTAAATAAATTTTAAGGAAATTATTTGAAAAAATAATAATAATGTGATATTCTTTCCTTTTTTGACATGCTTTCACCATACACACAGACACACACACACACAAAAACAGCGGAAACTAATTAAATTAGATTTTCATTAATTTGCTAGAATAAGCAAGTTAATTAGATTTCAAAAAATGTTCAAATGTTGACAAATACGTGTGTGCGTGTGTGTCTGTTTTGTTTTTCACAAATAACCAAAACGGGGCAAGGTATTTATTTAATCGATTAAATTATTCGTTTGTCATTATCAAATGGTTAGATTAACTAATTTTTATTTTCATAATTGAATTCATAAATCAAAAGAAGTGATCAAGCTTTCAACTGTTCCAAACTGTTATATATTAAAAAATCTTCGTATTTTAAAATATCATAGCATATCTGATTGAACAATATTATTCTCAGTGTTAGATCTTCACCAAACCTTACACTGATGTACAATAATATTTATATGAATCTATCAAAATATTAAAATAATCAAGGTTATTTCTGAATGAATGATTGAAGGTACTGTAGCATCTCATCATTCATTCATTGTACTTTCGTTTAAATAATTCTATAATTGCGTATCGACCATAATTTTGTATTTGTAATAATTCGATTACAGTATCGATTATTGTATATCTGGTTGTGTGTGGATACTTACTCGCTTATCACATGTCTAGCCTATTATTGCTTGACTATAAATACTTAGCCATTCTTCAGCTTAAGGAGAGTTGGATCACTCGCCTTCTCCAATTCCCTTCATTTTGCTTGTACGCTTCCTTTCTCGTGTTTGTCTGCATAAATGAACGCATTAAATAAATTCATCCGCAACATCGTGTTTGGCTTTTTACTACCGCCGTCGCACAAACAGGGTTAGCCTAATTATAATATACGGAACTGAAAAGGAAGATTTATTTCATTGCAAACTCGATCATTCGTCCACATTGAAGTCCAGCCGTGAGCCACTAAAGTACAATAGATTAGATGCCAAAACATTATAAATCAGAAGTACTAAATAATACTGTGATAATATTTATACTTCGTGTTGTCAAAATAATAAAGTCTTGAAACAATGTTTTATAATAAGAAGTCAGTCTATCACTTGAAGAAATATACACTGAAATAGTATTCATTAGAATTTATCAAAGTTACCTTATAAAAAGCGTTTTAATAATTAAACAGCAAGGCATATATTCTGAAAAAAGGGTCAATAACGAACTTGGTGACTAATCACAGGTTAAACCGATTGTTAAGGTTAATTCGATCAAGCAAGCAATAAGGGTGTAACAAATTTCTTATGAATACACTGACTTAAGTTGTTAGCTCGAATCCCTATAGCTTCGGCTATATGTTAGGGACAAGATCGGACCTCATTAGAACGATAAAACGTAAACAATCAGTTACTTTAAATAATTTACTCCAATCTATTCTATCATATGACCAATGACAGTCAAATAAGTCAGAACAGAGATTATTGTTTTGGTCATATTCTTTCCCAGCCACCAGAGAGAGGTATTTACTAGGTTGTAATAATTACATTAACCTAAAAGTTTTTGTATAAAGTAACTTTCAGTTCAATTATCAATTATTTTGTTTTTTTGATTAATATTACGATCAATAATCAGATCACTGTTACAAATTTAAATTTTTTATTTACTGGCAAATAATTTCAAATAATGTGATATTGTTTGTTTTCTACCATATTTAAAAATATTTCTTTTAAATAAACAACTAAAATAATCGTTTTGGTCACTTTCTTCTGTTCAATAATTTTAACGAGTAATTTAGTGTATTAATAAGGTCTACTCATAAAATAAGAAATTAAAAAATCTTCGCAATATTGTTAAAATTAAACTTTCATCATAAGCGAAGTACAATCTTATGAATTAAATAATCAGAATGACATTCGCATTAATGGTTAATCATTTATTAACTTGTCATACAGCACAATAATATCAGTCCAGTCAGTCTAGATAATGTTGTTATTATGTCATTGTAAAAGTAATCATTGACGAAAAAATTTTTGAAACTCATAAAAAATTGATTAGCAGTTATCTTTTTCTATCATTTTATTATACGATATTAGGAAGAGAAACATTAATCTTTTTTTAATTAGGTCGTCTTCAGGCTTTATATGCATGAATATTGATATGAAATTGTTAAACTATAATTCAACGAGGTCAGTAATTTTCTGGATGATTGATTAGCGAAAAAGATTAGTAGGACATTTTACGCAGCCAATCTTGCACTGATATTTTTTAGTTGACCAATGATGTCTACTCAAACGAAGAACAAGTTACCTGTGCATTTAAAAATTCAGCTTCTCCTTTTGAGATAGCTATACTGGATGTACTAATAGGCGACTTAACCAACGAATGAGTGAACATCTTCCAGCTTTCACTTAGTACTGTGGTGTGAGCTACTTATAAGTAGTATATGACGCGAGTGTCAACGTAATGTCTGGCAGCAGAAGATGGGTGAAGATCAAGAAAGGAAGAGTTAGAAAACAATGGAATTTGTATGAAACACATGAATAGTGACAATGGATTGATGTTTTGCAACAGGAACAGTTCAGTTCGATATGATGAACTGATATTTTGCAAATGAACGATTTACGATATGGTTTTCCGATTTTACTGAGTAACTCTGTGATTTCCGTTAAATACAATCCGGTTGCCCCACCTGTGTTCTCGTTCACTACAGTACACCTGATTGATAGCTGTCATAATATAGGTAACACTGAATCGTTTCCAGTGGTCTGTCCTTATACCTGCATTACCTCCCGACGGAATTTGATCCCGTCTTTAACATAAAGCGGAAATTCATAAGAATCCTAACGTTCGACCCCAATTTATGTGTTCAAAAATAAATCCGTGACACCTCTGTCCCTTGTTTGGCAGAATATAATTTAATATTTATTTAATATGAGTAGTAGTAGCCTCATTTGCCAAACATTTTTGCCCTTTTTCGTTTATATTCTTCGCCATCTAATTATTTTACACCCTTCTTATTACTTTAGTTCTAATAGAGTTTTGTAATTATTATTTTAAGTAAATTTATCTACGTTTGACCTACTACTTCTAATGTTTGCTAAACATTTTCTTATAAATATTCATAAATATTAGAGTAAAGCCAGATGATAATCTAATTGAAAACATTATTGTTCGCTTATATGTGTTTCTCTAATATTCATAAAGCAAACCTCTTTTATTTTCCTTGAAAACAAACGGTTTATTTTAGCTGAATGAGTTTAGCTTTAGTATAATGTATTTAAGAATACGTTTTCTCATAATTAGTACTTCCTCCTTTACTTGCTTACTTTATTCAATATCTACCATACAAATTCATAGATAGTGTTAAAATTCCTATTTGTAAGTGCTCTCTCTTAACAATGACTTTTGTCAGAATTAGAAATGCGCTAATCTACTGACCTGTCAAAACAATTGATAATCAATAAGTATTACGGGGTTGTGAAGATCGTCAAGTTAAACATTTTTGAAACCATGAACCGATCAATGTTAGACCACCATCAGAAAAACCTGGAAGCACTGGACGGCCGTCAAGTCCTGGTATGGGAGTCATAACCAGTGCGCATCCACGACTCCTGTACCCCACAGGATTCGAACCCTTCCGTATTGTAAGCGATCGCCTAACCTCTGGACCACTGAGCCGGCATCTAATGGTGTTAATGTCTAACTTGATCAGTTCACGGAGTTGCGCAACCTCATACGCAGTGTTCGGTAGTTACTGTCTTCACCCGAACAAGTTGAACTGCACTAGCTGTTAGGTGAGTAACCAAATTAGTGAATTTCTTAATATGACTGAAATAGTTAGTGTTCAGTTCGAAAGACATAAAGTTAGTAAACTAGAATTTAAAAAAAGGCTTTCTCATCAGCTTAAAAAGAGTTGATATACTTTCTCAAAATGGCACACTATAAACATACATTTAGATTATAATAAACAAAAAATTTCAGCAACTTACTTGTACAATAAAATTGAATACTTTGCACCAAAATATACCGAATATCCAACTGTTTAAAAAGTATTGCATTACAGTTATAGGACTTGTCATGGTTAAATAAATTAAATCTGTCACAGCTAAACCAACACAAAATGTTTCATATACCATACGTGTTTGATTACATGTTAACACACAGATAACTAATACATTACCGATGATACCGACTGTTACAATACAGCACACTAAACATGCCATAATAATTACAGATATTTCAATATCAGGTCGTATAATGGAATGGAACACTGTAGAATCATCATGTACTATAGTATTGTTGGCAGAATTAGCAAAAACAGGAATTAATATTGTTAATAATAATAATACATTCAAAATCATAGTAAACAGACGAATATTCATTTGTTATGTGCAATTTACCCGAAAATCAAATGATTATTTGAAAAAGTGTGGATGTTGAGATGAGTGTTTAAGACATTTCATACAATAAATATTCGTTCTATATGTCAGTGAGATAGATATGTCTCAATGTTTTAAGTTAACAACAGAATTACAGAATAAATGCAATAATCACAAAATGTGTTTGTTTAAACAGTAGTAGTTGTTCAATGGAAAATATTTACAATAAAATAATATTTAAAAAAATTGCTCGAATAACTTTTCTTTTTGCTTTTGATGGAGTTAAAAAATGATTGGCCGATTCATTTTTTTGTTGATAACATGAACTAGCCAATCTGAAATGCTTAACTAAATAATTGTTAGTAAATTTGTTTAAATACTTTATTTGTTAATTGACATCATGGACTAACCTTAGTTGAATAACTATCAACTAACTATCTCTTTGGTCTTAGTATGGAACCTGTCAGCAGGGCGCATTCATGATCATAGCATCAGGCATCGCGAAGCAAGGATATTTAATCTCACACAGGAATGCTTAACTTGAGCTAGTATCCAATGTTCTAAGCTCAAAACTTTAAAATGATTTGAATTTGAATTTGTTTTATACTATTGGTGTACAAAATCATGAGTCTTTATTTAAAATCATTTTGATTAAAAACATTAGAGTTATGCTTTGTTATTATTATCTTCATTCAGTTCCGAAATGAGAGTAAAATCATTGGAAATGATGTTGCGTTTCCATGCCTGGAATAAGTATTTAGCCATAAAAATTGTAGAATCTATTGTTAGGTTCGTCACTAAGTATGCTTGAAACTATTACGGGTTCACCTTAGTCGATAAATGCTAACGAGACAATGAACCAGCGTCCAAGTAGGCTACTCCGTTCAGAAAATGGCAAAACAGAAGTCTTGATAAGCGCAGAAAGTATATTCTACAAACACTCAACAAGCGCAATGAGTTCAGGCACACAAATCGCGTTTATTTATGCATCACAGAAACGTCCTTGGGACAGTCACGAAAATAGCACACTAAAATACACAGCAACCAATCACAGCCAAGGAGTTTCCTGGTGGGAAATGTGATCTCAAGGTCAACTGATCAGCCGATGCTCGCAAACGTGAAATCCAAAATAAAAGCATCTATCAAGCGAGATCTAGGGATCTAACTTCCCCAACATCTATAAATACTTTTAGTCATCAGGAGTAATCGCATATCGGGTGAAGCGTTAGATAGCAATACTCCAAGCATGGAATCTGTCTGACCAAGAGCTGTTTTACACAAAAGAACATTATAATGCGGTGTTAACTAGCTCTCGTTAATCTAATACTCAAAGTATTATTTTCATGTTACATGTTTTAATATTAAGTTATTTAAAGATTTATCCCAGCAATCAATAACTCCCATTGATGAGTACTGGGTTTGTATTTTACCGCACGAATTTACATTTTCAGCTCTCAGTTAACCTACAGCAAAACTTCACTTACTTTGAAATAAGCACGATATATTTTTAACTAAAAATGAAAAACAACTCTAGCTCTTAATTATGATCACTTTATCTAGGCATATGATGCTGATAAGTCTCTTCAGTCACGAATTTACCTTTGTAAAATTGTCCTTGCTAAATAATGTATCTATACTGAATACGATTTCAACTGTTGTCAGTATTTTTCTAAACAAAATTATACCAAATTTTAGGATAGAGCTTCGTGGAAATTCTGTAAATATTTTTAACAAGTCAGTGAAATGCAAACACCAAGTAGAACGTTTTGTATCCCATCAGGAAATCTATCAAGATGACATGATACTAGTGCAATTCTGAATGTGTATCAAAACAAATGGCTAGTTGATATTTTTTCTTATAGAATTTTGCAATACTAGTGTAACTTGTAATAATTGGATAACTCAAATCAGTTGATTAAATTCTAATCTATTGAACACGTTTGTTAGTCATCTTTATATTGATTACATTTACTGAAAAGCAACAAGTCAAAACCGTATAAACTAGCCTACTGTTGTATGTCTTGGCAAGTAAATGATTTTCCAATTAGAGTTATGGAGATTAGTGTTTTCGCACATCGAAATCATCAATCGATCATTGTTAGACCACAATTAGAAACCTGGAAGCACTGGACGGCCGTTTCATTCTGGTATGTGATTCATCAGTAGTGCGTATCCACGACTCCTGTGCCCCGCGGGATTCGAACCCAGGACACTCGGTCTTGCGCGCGAATGCCTAACCTCTGGATCAGGACCAAATGGCCGTCCACTTCTTCCAGTTTTTTAATGGTGGTCTAACAATGATTGATTGACGATTTCAATATACAAACAAATAAATGCTTCTTGTAACTCTATAACTAGCATTTGACGATATATTGATTTAGACTTTTAAAACGTTTATATAAATATATAAATGGTAAATGGTAATACTCTCTATTCCTTATTCTGATTTTACACATCTATCCAACTGTTTTTAAATGACTAGTTTTTATTGTCATGATTGTAAAGAATTTTATGGGATGAAAAATTAAAGTACTATAACAGTTTTGTTCATGAATTATTCTTCTCATATTAAGGTTATAATAGAGTTTTTGTTTTATGAGCTTACTTACGTAATTTAAAGCGATTATTCAAAATTAGCGATTTCTAAAATATCAATTCAGTAACTGTTTACTTTGATTCATATCCATATTTAGGTAATTTTCGTAAATAATATATATATACATATATATATATATATTATCATACATAAATGGGAATGTATTTTAAGTGAAATTGATTGGAAAACTTTTTTTCAAAGAAATCGCTCAATGATAAATTAATCTGTTTTGAACAAAATATGCCCCGCATATACTAACTAGTTTCCTACTGATATTGATTGAGATAATTCTAATCGAAATCAATGCAGATATCACTACTAGGATGAATTTGTAGATTATTTGTACAGAATAGTTTATTTACAATGTGTTTTCTGTTCATTTGTATATTTTATGTGTTTCAATAAATGATCATATATGCCTTGGGATTAGTTAATCTATCAGATTAATGATACTTTAAGTACTTCCATTCAGTAATCATATATTTCTACTGACAGTAAATAAATACAAATAAGGTTTAAGTATTCTTATGGCTCATTTCTATGAGTAGTCAGTTTTTCTTTTTATCAAAATATCTGACCTTTATAAGATATTATCTCATTGTCAAGTTTATGTTTATTGATAAATTATTATTTTTTTTTGGAGATTGAAATATATGATATTTGGGAAAGAAATATACTCATCCACTGATACTTTGAAGTGAGAATTGATTGATATACGTAAACTTTATTTAGAAGTATGCTTTATTAAAGTGTTTACTGCTTAGTTCATTCACTGACTTTTGAATGAGATCAATAAAGATACACAAGATATTTACATAAATTTGTCTCATTACCAATCTTTTGTGCTTCATTTTTTACTAGAATATGTGTTCACCTGTTGTACAAATACAATATACACTATAGGCGTAGATGATATACAATGTGGAATTACATGCTAAGTTATTTTGCTAAACTTTCAGTTGCACCACATCTGCATAGAAAGATGAGTATTTCCTATTGCATAATGTTGCATTACCTAATAAGGTTGTAATTGGCATTTATATACAATTATCGGAAACGTAAACATATCAGATAAAGTTATCAACTCCTGACACAAATAAATTTAGCCATACTATATTTTTTTAAGTTTGTAAACGCCGATCTTCAAAACATTGTCTGAGTTGAATATTTGGATTGTTCGGTTATATTTAAATTTATATAATAAAAATAATATCGATTATAAGCAAAGATGGATGATGGCTAGAGGTGGAATCCAGTAGGCGAGCTTCATTCTATTTATGACTCGTTAGCTGACTAGATCCGAGAGTCAACGTCCACTCTAAGACTTGAACCCAGTATCGTTCGCTTCGAACTTCATGGCTTTATCCACTAGGCTACTAAGTACAGACATCTACTGGCTCATGTGATGAGGGAAAATTTAATTCATTTTTTATTAGTTGTTAGGATCGTTGATGATGTTTACGTATGAAACTGATGAGCCTCTTTAAGCAAAACGGATATTATAACTGATTAGTAGGTGATTAGTCGCTATCTCCAGAAAAGCCATAAATTTCTTGGTTTAGGATGTTTATTTATAAGTCCTAGGACTTAATTCTCGAAAACTTGAAACCAACCAACGTTTTAAACAGGTAGATTATTTTGAAAGTGAATTTCAGAGGACAATTACTGTTGGGGACGTTATATCTCCAGAACTCACTTGATAAATACCTTAATTTTGGATTTTATGTTTCCGAGCATGGGCTGATCAGTTGACCTTGAGATTTCATTTCCCACCAGGAAAATCCTGGGTCGTGATTGGTTGCTGTGTATTTAAGTGTTGTATTTTTGTGACTGTCCAAAGGACGTTTCTGTGAATGATAAATAAACGTGATTCATGTGCCTGAATTCATTGCGCTTGCTGAGTGTTTGTAGAATATACTTTCTACGCTGTATCAAGACTTCTCGTTAGCTGTTTTGAGTCAGCAGATCGGAGTAGCTAACCTGGTCGCTGGTTTATTATCAACTATGGTGAACCCGTAATAGTCTCAAGCATACTTAGTGACGAACCTAACAATTACAAAATAAGTCAAATGAACATCAAAAACGGCAGACTGTTATTTATTAATTATCTGAGTAAATTTTACTGTTTCAAGAATTTGTTTCTATCATACATACTATTCACATGTTAAATCATAATGATGCACGCAATGTTGAATTATTGAAACTAGTTGTCACATTGAAATTTAATAAACGAAATTCGAATAGCAGATTATATTGATCACTATTCATTGTCCAGCCAACTGCACAAATAAAATGTTTTAAAATTTTACTTTGTTACTTTTTGCTTAACACCATTGTGGAAAAGAACAAACAATATTACAGCAGAGGAAGAAATCGGGAAAAAGCACTGGAAGTGAATAGAACACACAGTGTGAGAATCGCATCACAAGGCAAGCCCTCAGTTGGAACACTCGGTCAAAGGAAAAAAAGTAGACCAAGGAATATAGTGCACCGAGAGTTGAAGTTAGACAAGAAAATAATAAATAGTAATTGTGTAAAACTGAAAACGAAAACCCAGAACAGATTGGTAG